AATGTAGGAAATATGGCACAGGAGATTTAACCTTGACCACGGTTTATTTAAATAAACTGAGATTTTGAATGTTAATTAGGTGAATACTGATGTGAAATGAATATAGAGATACTGTATTAAATTAATGATAATGAAGAGTGAAGTGTGGAAGAGGTTGTGACCACTCCTACACACTCCTAGGCAACAATTAAATGAACAACAACAACATATGTTAATAATGACTATTTCCGTTCTTGTATTATAGGGTCTGCAATTACAATCCGGGTTTTGAAATAAAAAATTCAAAAGTGCTTTTTCAAGTAAATTTGCAAGTTGTTGTTTTTTTTAACAAATGATGTCTATTCTATTTGTGCCCTGTTTGCATTTAATATATTTCATATGATTTCAAATCTAACAAAAACTAAAAACGAGTTGTTCAGGGGAAGTTAAAGACTGTTTCATGGCTGCATTTTGATATTTTACTGGAAAAGTAAGAAAGAAAGAAAGAAAGAAAGAAAGAAAGAAAGAAAGAAAGAAAAACATGGTCAATGAAAAGCATTTCCTGTTTACTGTTTACTTTCTGAGTTTCTGTGCAACCCAGCTCAGGCTTCAAGAGAAATCATCAGAAAGATTGACACCAGAGATGCGCTTTTAACCATCCCTAAGGACCAAACTGGCTGTTTATTTTACGTTTTCCTGAGGAATTTGTCTTGGCACAGATAGAAGCCTATTTGGAAGCTGCACAGTGTCAGTGAGGTCTATCTGAGCAAGAAGAATTTTGCCATTAAAAATGAATGACTTAATAAAGTACAATAGACCTCTGTTAACAATGACTCACTGAACTGATGGAACAATGTTGCTTTATTCATCAGTGATTATTATAAAGAATTTCATGCACCACATCTCTGCACCAAAGTCATAGTTTAGCCCCTTTCAATCCCATTGGTGCAGTTTTATAATGCAAGCAGCCATTGTCATGAAGGTGACTTCACTTAGCCAACAACCAACGTCCACCAGCTCCCCATAAAAGGTCAAAAGTGAGACAACGCCCACTTGTCAGATGCCCCAGAAATCCATGGTTGAAGCCAACAGCGCATTAGTTATGGAGGAGTTGCCCCTCCAAACCTTCCAAAGGCAGCGTCCTTCAAAGGTCACACACCGGCCAGATAAATAGTATAGTGGCACTTAAATAACACTCCATCCACGCTGCTGTGAATAGCATAGCAACATCTCAAAATATCTGTATTTTTTTAGCAATACACCGCTGTCAGATATGTGCATCACAAGCAGTCGTAATATTTTATTTAAGAGCTTCATGCACTTGCTACTTAGTTACACAAAATAATGTGTGTCTTACTCAAGTAATATACATAGCCAATAAAATAAATAATAAAATAAGACACCAAGACACATCTTGGGAAGGCACTGCCTGTACTTTACACTGTGTTACACTCAGGACCTGGAGGTATCTATGACCACATGAAGCAATCAACTTTAAATCATGTGCGCACAAATGCTGTATTTAGATGATAGTGTGGTTCTTTCAAATATCAAGTTGATCAACAGTTCATAAAACCTCATGTGAAGTGATGAAATAATTGTTAAGGGCAAGAGCCTGGCTGGGACTATTTCTTTGTATTGCATTACATCATGTAGGTGTTTTTATTTTTCAGGTTATTAATGGTGACATGCTTGGAGAGTATGCTAGCAGAGTGAGAACATTTCATGTCAGACATTTGATAGTATGGACCAAGGCTCATATGACCTTCGAGAGACATATTTTTTCCTAGAAATCAAGTTTTTCTGTCCCCCAACTGTGTGCTAAGCACTGAGCGGTAAAACATTAATGATGTTTTTTATAAGACTAAGCAGACTAGAGTAATGCTGGCTGCCCTGTAAGGCCATATTTAGGTACAGATAGGTGCTTTAAGCTAAATGCTAACATACTCACAATGACAAATGCAAATGTTGGTATTTAGGCAGCAACTATATTTACCATGTTCGGATGATCTTAGAGTAGTGTTTAAGCATGCTAACACTTAAAATGAACTAAATATATCTGAAGTTAAATAAAATTCTACATTATCTTACATTTTGCCTGTTTTTCTGTGTTGGATTAAGTGATTCACTATGGGCTTCGTCCCTCAGCCTGTCACACTGCCCTCTGTGCTAAGGTGTTTAAAGTGCTGCTTGGCAATGCAAAGTAGATTTAAAATTCCACTCACCAACATTGCATCTTGCCATCTCCAATGGCAGCGAGAGGCCTGTGTTTGAAAGATTTGAATTTCAATACCCCCCAAAAAAATCATGTGATGCAACGTCAGTGAAGAGCAAACAACAAGCTCATGTTTACCAACCACACCATTTCAGGAGTCCAACTTTCTCTGGAGTCTTCATTCTCTGCTGTTTGGGAGTCAGTGTGTTTGGATTTCTCACAGTGGCTCATCCTCCTTTTTTGTTTTCAGGTGTGAAATTAGCATTATAGTCTCACAGGGCAGCTGGTAGCAACACGCTGTCCACAATCAGTCCCTGTTTGCTACCTGCTGCCAAACAGGACTATTGAATGGGTAAACAAGGATCTATTTCTGAATCTATTTATATTTGTTGTACTTTTTATAGATATATCATAATACTGTATATTTTAAAGGTACAAAAACAACCAAGTCTGATAAGATTTGCTGAGAATATCTTGAAAATAACAGTAAAAAAACATAATGCAAAGCAAAAAAAAAAAAGTGTTTATTGTTTACATATATTATGTATAAACAGTTGGAACAGATTTCTGGATCATAAAACAACCTTAATCCCAGTGTGACATGCATGCACCCTTATCTAAATTCATCAGATTTCCATCTTCCCAGAAAGAGGTTCTTCTGTGAGTCAAAGGAAACATGGAATCAAGTCCGGCCAAGAGTCGGGAACAAACAGGCCTATCCAGTGACTCAGACGGCCCATGGGGATGAAGAGGATACTTATGGGTGATAAACATCTGTAGGCTGTCAAGGCTACCGTATGTGCTATGTAGGCAGTGTGGATGTGTGATCAATCTGATCAGACTCTGCAGCTGTGGCAGGGTAATGTTGACCATTTCACAACATGGTACTGTCACTGAAACCTGTGTGGGTTGAGATGAATCATGTCGACACTGAGAATCTCAAGTGCCACCAATGGATTCATGGGCGTCAGTGAATGAGCTGCCAAGCCAGTACAGTGCAGCTCAAGGCCTTCAGTACTTTTCCATGAGGTGAATCCCTCGGTAGGAGCATTTGCTGCCTCTGCCTTTCTTTGGACATACAGCGTGAACCGAGGATGTAGTATACTCTAAATGTCACATTTCAGAAGGGACAAAGATCCTCATTATGCTTGGTAAACTGATAAAATTCAGCAATTGATAGAAGGCTTAACTTAGCATAGCTGTCAACCTACACCAATTTTTCTCATCTGGCTGCAGATATATTAGTATACTGGCCTTATTGTTTTGGAAAATGCGGTTATTTGCTTTCTAGCCAAGAGTTAAATGAGAAGACTGATACCACTTTTATGTCTCTGCAACAAATATAATCGTAAAGCCAGCTTAGCATTTAAACTAAAAAGAAGGACAAACAGCTACCCTGCTGTGCAAAGGTAATAAAAATCCACAGGGATCTTTACAACTCACAGTTAGTTTATGTATATTTGTTTAATGCATACAAAAAGACAAGTCAAGGTTTTATGGAGGGTTATGTGCTGGATTATTTCATTGGAGCTTGGCTAGTGACTTTCTGGAGCTAGTTTACCCCACAGATGCTTGAGCTAACAACCAACAAGAGTGGTATTCATCTTCTAATCTAACCCTGCTAACAAAGTGAACAAAAACTATTTCTTTATATGTAGACAGTCACTTCATAGTTAATTAAAAACTATATTTCGGAAGCAAACACATGATTCAACATTTGGGTATGATTTAACTTAAAGTATATAAAGAATAATCATAGGTAACAATCTAATCAGTAGTATAGTAGTATATTTACCAGTAAATCGCCAAAGACAGAGTTTTATAATTTTATGGGCTCAACAATGTCAACTTGTATTGCTGACCCACATTAGCACAGCAGGGGAGAGGGATCAGGCGTGTGACACCAAGTAAATGATCACTGGTGCTTTGTCCCCTCACAATGACAGTGATGCATCTTGCAGAAGATCATGTGCTTCTGCCATTAACCTACTGTAACCACGTCACCCTGTTCACTTGCTGCTGCATGAATGATGTCAACGTTGCCAAAACTTGAATGCAATTAACATAAAGTAATACACAATTAGGTCGATAGCTTACTTAATTTAGACAAACCATACATTTTATAAAGATCAGAGACTGAACTGGAGAAAAAGGTCAGGAGCTCTACTACAAATGTCCCACGAGAGTGTCACAATCTCTCGCTCATCTGAATCTCATTTGTATAGCTCACAGAGGCACACAAAATCACTAAGGAGACACCTCCATTAAAGACAGTGAGAGAAATGTCACACAAACTCTGCAGGTTTGCACAACAAGCAGCTGATGTGCTTATATTAACAGCTACAGCTACAGTGTGTGTGCACATAAACTGTGCTACTTATTTGCAATCTTGACCAGACAATGTTTCTTAGTAGACCCATAGGAAGCAAATGGGATCATAAAATATTGCTAATAAAGTGCAAGGACTCATAAAATGATAGTTGGAGTGATAAAAGTATGTTTCTATGCAAGTTGTGGCAAATAACCTACATTATGATGCCTATAAAGTGGTTCTACAGTGACTGCTGATGACTTGTATGAGGTCATGCTTGTCTCATACTAGCCTCGCATAATAAACACATCACATTCTTGTAGAGATCTTGTTGTGCTTGTTCTGTTTAAAAAGCCTGCATTGTCCCACTGTTGCCTGCCCACTGCAGGCTTAGCAGGCTTGGTCATGGCTCTAGAATATGCACAGTAATGTTCTGTGACTGCTGAACAAACAAATTATTCAGACTGAACAAACGTCACTGAATGAAACGTAAAGTAGGGTTTAAATGTTTTATTGTCTAATAGACAAGATCTGGTTTCCTTTAGCAGGAAGTTTGAAATGGCATTAAAAAATAAAAAAAATACAAATAAAAACTGAAGGGAATTCATTCACCAATTACTAGCTGGACCTCCAGTAATTTCTTTACACGTCCCGGTTAACAAATTATGTAAAAACAAATACTGTTTGGGTGAACCATCCTTTTAATGATCTATAAAGGCTCTGCATTGAAAAGGCGTGTCTGTATGGGAGAGGGTATAAAAACAAAAATGTAATAAAACACTTACACTACACATACACATAGCTGTGATCAAAGTGAAAAAGAAAAAAAAGAAATTGCATTTCTATGACATTTAAGGCATCAACATTGCCCTAGTGCGAGAAGCCCACACCACGACAGCAGCATCTTCACAGGACATTCAGTCTTAAAAACATCCACAGCCCTAAATACAGCATTACACAACTAGCTACATATGGCCCCAAAAGACTAAGTTTAAGTCTCCTATTCAAGCCTAGGTGTGTTTACTGCTGCTGAACACATTCATTGGATCTGGAAACAGGCAGATGCATCAACAAAGTGGCTAGTGTCTTTAACAAAAGTGTACCCACAGTATGTCCCTCTCCAACATGTTGATGTGAACATGGTTTTTACATTCATCGGCAAAATGTACAATTTAAAGTTGTGTTTGAGCAACAAATGCTCTGATTAGAAAAAAACTAAACAAAAAACCCAAACACCCAGAATATTACAATTTTGCTGATAAAAAGAAAACAAACAGTACTTTTAGAAACACTGAAGCCAAACCCAGAACTATCAGGCTCAATTATGCATAAGCTTTTAACTTTATATCCCTTGCTCTAAGCTGAACCGACTGGCTACTAATAGTTGAACGGACAAACTATATTGTACAAAAACACTGTAGAAAATATGACACCGCTGGAGTATCATTTACATTTGGGCAGAAGTGCATTTACCCACAGGAAACCCGATATCCCACTTTTAGTCCCTCCCATAGTTCAGCACTCCTCTACCACGGTACCAGCCGAGGAGGAGTACAGTTTTTTCTTTACAAGCCGGAAACCGGGGCTTAGTTTAAGTACGTGCCTAAAAGTCGGGGCAAAGCAGGTTCCCATAAAAAGGAAGTCCCTTAGGCTGGGCCAGGCGGTGCCATCCTGTTTGAACACAAGAGTCAGCTCAAATGTGGGCACCACAGTGGCATCGTACACGATGCGCTCCAGCCGCTTGCAGCCCTTGTCCAGCTCCAGGTGGACGTAGAGGACACAGCCACGCAGGCCGCAGGGCTCGCAAGATGCCAGCCGCAGGACTTCTCGAGCTATTCTCCGCGTGAGGTTCTCTGGTACCAGCACAGAGGAGCAGTGCAGCGTCGTCTTCTTGGCTCGTGACAGGCAGTTTTCGAACATCTTGGCCAGCTGTTGACAAGTTCTGTCCTCAGTGACATCTGCATTCCTCTGGGGCTCAGCTAAACAGTGATCCCAGAAATCCAGTTCTGGGGAAACAATGCAAGTTCAACATTTAGGGATCAATGCCAGCATACTTATTGTAAGATGCCAGCATGCACAAATCAAATCTAGGTTTTTCCTTCAGTTTTGACCACAAATGTAGGAGTGGTTGCAGTGTGTTTCAAACTCACATTTGAAAAGAAAGAATAAACATCACAGACTGCTAAACTGTCCTAAACCTTAGACAGGAATCAAACCAATCATAGTACAGCATTTGCAATACAATAATTCAGCTCAGGAAAGAAGAATCCTGTTAGATTTGCCATTACAGCTAGTACAGGCTGCTGTTGTGCAGACAGGCTGAAGGGATGACTTCATCCTCTGTTGACTTCCCTCTCCCCGCCCCCCTCCAATGCTGCAGCCATGCAGCACACAGGGATAAACAAGCACACAACTGGGAAGTATCCAGCAACCAGCAGGTTATCTACACAGACAAAAAAAAAAAAAAACACACACAGAAAAAGCCAGTACCTTTCTCAATGCACGCCTGGTCGTATCTCCGGTCAACCAATTCTGAGATACATTCGCTGCTTTTGGTCTTTAATGTGCTGGTAGCAACCATGGTGACAGTGTTGGGTTCTCCAGGAGTGGGCTGTTTTCCTGTAGTTATAGCAAAGCTGCCTGAAAAACGGCGTCAGAAGAAGAAGAAAAGAAAAAGAAGAAGCGTCAGTGCAACAGTCGAGGCGGGTTGTATTCAGCCCAACAAGAGACAGGTGGCTCATTAAGGTAGCTACGGTACCCAATCGCTTCAAACTGTCAAAATGTAGCTATTAGCACGACAACCCTTCACTTATCCGCCCTCCACTGAACAGAAGTTTAGCTCGCACTGCTTTAGCCATTCATTTCTAGCTAACAGCCATTTCTTCTGAATATCAAAGAACTTACCTTAAATATTATTTAGTGCAAAATAATTCAGTTTTAAACGGTTTCTCATAAATAAATTCACACTCGCACGCCGTTTTTTTTTTTCTTTTCCTCCCACACTGACACACACACAGACACACACACACACTGTAGCAGGCAAAAACTTCTGAGGATCATTTATACATTACTGCTTCTCAGCTGACTCGAGGGTTTGACCAATCAGAACACGCCTCTCGACGTACAACGCTGCTCTTCCCTGATTGGCTGCGAAATCATGTTAAAATTAAATAATTGACCAATGCTTGGGGAGGGAATATTTGTGTTGCTACATGGGTGAGGTAAAGTAAAATCCTGGCTGTAACCTGTGGACGCAGGTTCGGCGTTAGCTTTTTGTGGGGTTAATCCATCCCAAACCTGTTTTTTATTTGCACACAGGGGATCATCTACCTGTTAGGAGTCATATTACACATTTTATAATATTGACACTATCAAGTTGACCAAAACCTAGCTAAGAATGGCAAACACGCTGTCCAAATTAGGGTTTACCCAACTTTAAAACTTGGTTTTAAGTGAAATATATGATTGTATCATATTGGTCATATCTCGTGAAAAAACTGTTGATGTTCGTTCACATTCCACACAATTATTAAAATAGTCTCTATGCAAAGATAACAGTTATTATTATCAATTAGTATTCAACAACTACATCTCCCATGAGGCTTTGACAGTGTGCCGATAAATGTAAATAATTTTTTTTGAGTTGGAGTTCACAGTTCATACCTACACCTTTGATTAGACAACTAACCCATAAAATAAAATGTTGTATTTATTCCAATTTTAACAAAAAAATATTGAAAAGGAAAAATCCTGTATTATATATATATATATAAAATATATAATATATATAATTATTGAAAAATCTACATTTCCAACAGAATGGACATATTCAAACACAGTACTGGTCTTGGAATAAGAGACAGAAGCATGAATATAGAGTTTCTTTGCTTGACCTCAATAGCAGTGCTGTGGAACCCTCACATGCCAATCCAAGAGGGTCCAGGGGTCTGCAGCAAAATGAAGCATTATTAGTGATTGCTATTTAAAAAACCCCACAAATTATGGAGTTCAGAGAATGAATGAGTGGCTTTCACCTCCGATTGGTATGCAATTGTGTGCAAAATTAGGAAAACATTCTTGCAGATGGATGTCCAAAACAAATCAAAACCGACATCTGTGGTCTGACCATCAGGAAGGAGGAAGCCCCTGCTTGACCACACTCACTGAACCAAAATGTCTCATCTTACTGTATTTGTATGAGTGTGTACATTTGGCAGGTAAAACAGTGAGCACAGTTGTTCAGCTCATCAGCAGTTTATCCCTCATCATACACTGTCTCAACAGACATTTTCTCCCAGTAACTGGATCTGGCCCTCTCACCCCCAGCAGCTCTGCTGGCTAAAGGGTAATGGAATCCAGTGGACTAGAGGGAGGGAGAGAGAGAGAGAGCTGTCCTCCAGTCACATGGGGAGAACTAGATATGCCTCAGAAAAAAAGTCACATGCTTTCGCTAGTGTTACTGCCTTTGTGGATGCAAGCATACACTGTGTAAACTGCTCGATAATCAAAGCTTTTGTTTAGGTTTTGTTCAAAAGACTTTGATATTAGCAGGGGATAATATTGTGCAAATTAAGGGTCAGAAAATAATTAAAGCAATATTGGCTATTTGATCATTCATCAGCTACAATGTATGCATAGATGACAAAGACATGAAACATTTCTAAACCAGGAGCTGAGACCACACATCAGAAACTGCATAGCATCAGCTGTGACAGTGGTTTTAATGAGGTTTTGACCTAAATTCATGTTGAATATACAAGGTCACTATGTTGCTGAGAAAGCTATTATTCAGTAGCCCACATTGTACAGTGTATCGTAAAAACTTAACAAGCAGGAAAAGACTCGTTAAGTGTTTAAAATAGCTTCTGAATGCAGATCAGCCAAGTAAAGCTGAAAATAGTATCAATACTTTTATATCCTATAAATACCTTGATTCTTGAGGGTGAGTTTCACTGAAACATTTTAGTCAACATTTGCTGTGAGGAGAATAAAAAACACTTATAGCAGACACAGCCTGAAACCTGTCCCTATAGTGTCTAGGTCTTATCTGCAGATGCTGTCATAATTTGCCACAATGTGGGTTAACTGTGCAGCCTGGGTTAAAATAAAGTTTTGCAGACGTGCACTGATTACCGCAATGTCTACAGCAGAGGCATATAATCATATATAGAGCAATAAATTCAGGGCAATGAAGTGAGCAATGTTACTCCATCCAGTGGCAGACTCAGGCTGTTT